CATTAGAATTACCTGCCTCAGCTGATTTCTGATAATATATAAATGCTTTATGCTTGTCTATTTCAACACCAATTCCCAAATAATAACAATAGCCAACTTGATACATTCCGTTAGAATTATTCATATCTGCACATTTTTTATAATGAATGAACGCTTGATTTTCATCTTTTTCAACTCCGATTCCATATTCGTAACAGTAACCAAGCCAGAATATTCCGTCTGGATTATTCATATCAGCAGATTTTTGACAATCAATAAAATTCAGTTGATTAAGAATGCTAGTCATTTTAGTAACGTCATACGATGAACCTAATATCTTTTTGTTTCATTCGATAAATAAATAAAAAAAAAGTCAATAAATATTGAATAACAAGAAAAATTAGTTACTACTGTCGTTAATTAATTACAATTATAATTACTTTAGATATAATATTAATCTGTTGCAGTTACTTTTTTTTTGCTAAAATATAACATCAGACTGGTACAGATAAAAATATTGATATTAAGTCGGCGCATTATAATCTCCCAAAAATTGTGAAACCAAATATTTCCTAAATAATACGTACTCGAATTTATTGTATAACGATAATTTTAATATTTCTCGAATCTAATTCTTTGACTTGAAACATTTCTATTTGAGAATAATTTTATTGACCGAATTAGTTGATAATACAGTAATTCAGATTTGTGAATACAACAAATTGTTGAAACACTATACATTAATTAATTATTCATATTCGATTGACGAAGTGAAAGATTTAACCAAACAATATTACATATACCGTAGATAGGTCAATTAAAAAAAAATAATCTAATATGGTGCGAGCAGTCTAGTCACATCAAATTTTTATGATAGTGCTGAAAATTATGTCGATCATTACTTATAAAATTGAATTTGATTGGTTATTTTTTATATATATTTTTTAATTTTTTTATATTAGTGCTGAAATTTTTAAAGCTGTATTTTTTAAAAATTAGATTTTCTCTAATAAAAGTTTAAAAAGGCTTAAAACTAAATACATAGTTTGATAGATCTTATCAAAAGCTACTTAAATATATATAGTTTTTTTTGTAATTAAACTTTTAGATAAAAAGTTTTTGCAATTTTAGATTTATAATAAAATATTTGATGTGACTAGGCTGCTCGCACCATACCTAGAATAAAATTAAGACTATAAAAACATTTAATTTGATAAAATTAAATAGTATCCTTAGCTTTTGTTTATTTTATTTTATACTGTATATCTCTGTACTCACTGCATTTGTATGATAAAAGGACAAGATAATCAAAAAAATCATTCCGACACGGATCTCAGAAAAATCCAATCCTATGGCGCACCAACCTGGTACACATTTTCTAGATGCAACTTTGTATGGTCTTAGACATGAACATGAGTCTATTAATTTACAATAGATTAAAAAAAAAAATCTGACCGACCGACCCAATTTTCTGATTCCATGTTATGCAACGTGGCCTAATATCAAATTTGATTAATCAATGGTTTTGTTGTATACCAACCCTAATGTTTGATCGTTCCTTAACGTTTCAGATAGGGCATATTTGCGTCATGGTGAGCAAAATATTTTTTTGTTGTCGTTGTTATCGTTACAACAAAACGTTCGATTTATTTGTTAAAGTACTTTGTGATCAATTTCAATACTGCAGGCCAAAGGTTTAAATTTGACTAAATAATTTATTATATTCGGCAAAGTTTCAAAAAAAAAAAAAAAAAAAAAAAAAATTAGATAAAGAAAGCAATTTTTTTTTTTACTTTTTTTAAATACATTTATTGATTAATCTTTCAACGACGCCTAAAAGATAACATCAGAGTGAAGTGAAGGCAGTTAACAACATTTAACAACACAATTAATGCAACTATACGATTAATATTATAATTATGAACATAAACATTGACTTTAAGACATTTAAAAGCAACTGTTAATTCATTGTCACATGTGAATACAATACCAATTTTATATTTAAAATTGAACAGACTAAAATATAAAACCTGTAAAGGCTATAAACCGATATCGTTATATTAATATCCCATTATCAATTACTTCATTACCAGAAACTTGAATATCCGAAAACCTTATTCTCTTCTTCAATTTGCTATTATAAATTAGATAGCCAATAATACATAATAATCCAACACCTACAACACTTCCAATTACCGATCCTATAATAACACCCGTGTTCGAATTACTGGGATTCGCTGTAGGACTAGGACTTGGTGTACTTGGTGTTCTTGGATAATATGATGAGACCCATTTGAATTGATTATTTGAGATGTCGAGGATGCTTATCGGACTACTTGAAAACTTATTAATATCAATTGCACCTAAAGATCAATTGTAAAAACACGTGATAATTAAACTTGTGAAAAAACGATCATTAAACTCTGGTTATCATTGCTCACCAAACGCAAAAAATATATAATCATTATAGAGAGAGGCTGTATGAGAAGATGGTGCTTTTATTGGTGGATTACCGGAAGCGTTAACAGATATCCAAGCATATGTGGTGAGATGTAATACCGCGATTCCATTTATCGAACGAGCAATATTGAAGGCACCGCCAAACACAATTATGCTTTGGTTATTTGTTGAAAGTGTGGCACTATGTCCGCATCGAGCAGGGACTCCATCATTATTAGTGGCTATCTGTATAAGGCCGTTCAAAGTTGATTAGTTGTTTAACGTCAACATTTTGAGCTCAGGTTCGAGGGGGGGACTTTGAACGGCCTAATTTTTTTTCAGAACTGACCTCTTTTATCGATAAAGTAAAAAACATCAATGAAAATATACCTTCTGTGACCATTTATTAGTATTTATATCAAAAATATCGAGCTATAAAATTAACAAAGCTTTATATGTAAATATTAATTATTAATTGCGACCCATATTCTAAAGATTTTTTTTTTACCTGCGCTATGTCAGGATTATAACAGCCTCTAGAGCTTGTACCCGTTATAAATTTCTACTCCGGGTTACTCACCCGTTTACAAGATCACTACCGGGTTACAAACCGG